TTCTCCTTAGTTCTAGGTTGCTTCTCCCCTTGATTAATTTCCACCCATTGCTTCTTGTCCTACCCTCAGATGCTTTAGAGATTAGCTTGACTCCCTCTTCTTTGTGGCAACCCCTGAGATATCGGAACATTGCTATCATGTCTCCCCTAGACCTTCTTTTCATTAAACTAGACATAGCCAATTCCTGCGACCATTCTTCATATGTTTTAGCCTCCCGTCCCCCAATCATCTTTGTTGCTCTTCTTTGCACTCTTTCTAGAGTCTCCACATCTTTTTTACATTGTGGTGACCACAACTGAATGCAGTATTCCAAGTGTGGCCTTACTAAGGCATTATAAAGTGGTATTAGCACTCCATGATACAATATGTTAAATAAATATTCTTCTAGAGCCATAGAATGTTAAACATATAAAATAAAAATCATAGAAAGAACAAGCCAAAAAAAGAGATGGCATCATTTAAGAATCAAAATCTTAAACAATTCTAAGTGCTTTCCTAAAGGCTTTTTATGGTAGGAGCTGATTGAATTTCAAGAGGAAGAGTTCCACATACTAGTGCTACAACATAGAAATGACATTCAGGGGCACTCATTCTCCAGGGCATTCATTCTGCCTCCTAACAAAAGTGGAGATATGCTGACAGATTCCTCTGGGAATCCAATCTAACAGGCAGTTCATCCTTTTTCATCCTCACCACATGATCCCAAATTGGCTAAAAGCTCTTAGTGAAGGAGAAAAAATGGGGACAGATGACGACTAAGTCTCAGGTTTGTAAAGATAAGATATTGATATACAAGCGGATTTTTTTTACTTTTGGCACATCTCTTCTTCATTATTCCAAAAGGCTATACTTTCTCAACACAAGGAAAGGGTTATTTCATATTTCCCCACCTTGATCTTGCCTGCTGTCTCCACACTTCTTTCAGGCAAGTATGTTGAAAGTATATCTCTCATACAGAATATACAAGTATACTCTCCATGTATACTTGCATACTCTATTATACACAGAGAGTATACATGTATGTTTCTTATAGGTAGTTGTCAGTTTTGGAGTCTTAGAATGATGTGTAATTAACGGTAAAGTTTTCCCTTGAACATATGTGCTAGTTGTTCCTGACTCTAGGGGGTGGTGCTCATCTCCGGTTCAAAGCCGAGGAGCCAGCACTGTCTGAAGACGTCTCCGTGGTCATGTGGCCAGCATGACAAAATGCCAAAGGCGCACAGAATGCTGTTACCTTCTCACCAAAGGTGGTCCCTATTTTTCTACTTGCATTTTTTACATTCTTTCAAACTGCTAGGTTGGCAGAAGCTGGGACAAGTAACGGGAGCTGATGCAATTTTTAGAAGGAGTACTAGAATCATGGGTGGAGATTACCCAGGAGTGAAGAACTACAATATATCAAGTGGAGACCATTGGTCCATTCAGCTTCAAGCTCTGTCTTCAAACAGTAACTGCCAGCTCCTTATTAAGAGTTGATCAGTGCCTAAGGACTACCATGAAGTTGGGCTGCTAACTGCAAACAACTATATATCAGAAATGAAGCCAAGAGCCTCAAGGCTTTGATAACAGAAGATTTAACAGACTAGAAAGTTCATTCTAAGGGATAAGAGCCAAAGAAATGGACATGCTCAGCTTTAGCTGGATAAGAAAAAGAGCTTTTCATTTTCAAAGGAGGGATGGTTCCTTTTTCAAGGGAGGGTAAAGGTAAAGGTAAACGTTCCTCTTGCATATATGTACTAGTTGTTCCTGACTCTAGGGGGTGGTGCTCATCTCTGCTTCAAAGCTGAAGAGACAGCACTGTCCGAAGACATCTCCATGGTCATGTGGCCGGCATGACTAAATGCCGAAGGTGTACGAAAATCTGTTACCTTCCCACCGAAGGTGGTTCCTATTTTTCTACTTGCATTTTCACATGCTTTCAAACTTCTAGGTTAGCAGAAGCTGGGACAAGTAACAGGAGCTCACCCCGTTATGCAGCAATAGGGATTTGAACCACTGAACTGCCGACTTTTCTGATCAACAAGCTCAGCATCTTGTCTAATTGACAAGCTCAGCCACTGATCCACCGTGCCCCTGAGGGAGAATAGGAGACACTAATATTCCTGATGTGTGAATGAGTCTCTTTCTGCCCTTCTAGGGCAGCCGATTCTCAACCCGAGCAAGTTAAAGATGTGTGGATTTCAGCTCCCATAATTCCCCATCCAGAATGCCACTCACCAATTATGGGAGTTGAAGTTCACACATCTTGAACTTGCTCAGGTTGAGAATCACTGATCTAGAGACTGTGAGACATCAAGTAGGCTGCACAAACCAAGGAAAAACATCAGATTGAGAAAGCAGAAAATGCTTCAAAAATAGACTTCAATATATTATTATTATTGTTGTTGTTTTTATTATATTTCTTTTTTTATGATAGATTTCAATTTCAAGAGAACTGATAATGGGAAGCTTTAAATTAATGGAAGGATGGAGTGTGTGTATATATGTGTGTGTGTGTTTGAGAGAGAGAGAGAGACAGAGACAGAGACAGAGAGAGAGAGACAGAGAGAGAGAGACTACTGTGCACAGTTGCACAAAATCTTTCCTTCTAGAAGAATTAGTCTAAAGTTCAAGTAGATAAAGTAGACAGAAAGATGGAGAAGTCCAAATAGAACTGTTATTCAAGATGTCCCAAAGATGCTTTTTCAAGAGGCAACTGGATTTTCGGGAGAGGGGGGGGGGGTTGTAGACATTTCACTTCTCTTCTAATAAGCTTTTGAAGAGCTGAAGAAGCTTCTTGGATGAGAAGTGAAACATATTCAAAGATAATCCAGAAAATCCAGTTGCCTCTTGAAAAAGCACATTTGGAATATCCTAGATTGAAACAAATTGGCAGCCACTCATTTAAAAAAATAATGAATTTAACACTGCCCATCCTGTAGAAAATAACCGATATGGAAACAATCTTTTCCTGCACTTTATGTCTAAGTTTCCTGAATTTTATTTCTTTAATCTGGTAATAGATCCCTCTGTTGTACATGACAAAATATATATTTTAAAATGTTAATGTTGATGTGAGGGAAGAGAAAAATATGTTGAAGGTTAATAATCCTGGTGGATTAGACAGAAGAGTAGGGAATGATCTCATTAATGTGCCTTCTGGTAATATGCTGCTTTCTGACTAAAGCCCCATGATAGCCATCTGGTCAAAGTGATGGGAATTTGGACTGGGGTGGTGGTGGTGTCCCAGGATTCCTATTTTCCCAGCATAAAGGGGAAAAAAAATAGTGCCTTGGATAAATTGTAAACATGGTGCTAAAACACATTGTAAAGTTTTGATAGCTGTCCAGGGTCCTGAAATCACTGTGTGTGATGATGCTTTGCAGGCACTCTGCCTTGGAAGTGCCCAGAACCTCTAATTATACAAAAAAAACCAAAAACAACTGATTGCTGGATCAGAGGCTGGACGTGCCCTGTTGGTCTGTTTCTGGCTTTATTGTCTTCTTCAGAATGCTGGCAGGTTCTTCCATGGGAGCACATCACAGACACCACACACACAGACACACACAGAGAGACACCCATCTGCATTGCCATAATGCTTTCGGATCCCATAAGGCTGGTACCAGAGAGATCCTAGCATTTGCTAAAATAAACTATTTATAAAACTGGTGCTGTGAAAGCATATTGTCCTGCACAGCTTACAAATACTGCTCATAAAGGATGGCCAAAAGCCATGCTTTGATCTGAACAAAAAGAAGGCACCTGGTCTGATCTAGGCTTCCTGAGAAAGCATAAATCACAATCTTAGTCCCCAAACTCCTCTTTTATTTATACGGCTGTAAATTATGATCATTAACAGTCCGTGAGGCTTCACAAACAGTCTGTGAAGATTCCAACAGATGTCTGCTTGAGTTGACATAGTCTTTCAGGGAATCTTCATAAAAACACCCACATTATCTCCCTTGGAATGCTGCCAGATACCTAATTGTCAAATAGCAGAGCAAGGCCAAACTTAGCATAAAGTCAAACAGAATTTTTCAAAGCTTGAACTGACCAGATGAACAATTGCTTCCTGCAAAAGCTCACGTCCCGTTCGCTCCTCTTTTATGTCTTATGGGAGGAGGTCAATCATCTCTAAGCCTTACTCCCAAGTCGGTCTTGTTTTCTTAATTATTCTTGTCTTTTTGGCAGTTCTGCGCACAATGGAAATAGGCTCCCGCTGTTCTTCTGCCTTGCTGATGTCTGACTCTGGAGGCTCCGGAGGCAGAAAATAACTACCAGATGGCCTGGTCTCCTCTCTGCCTCCAACACAGAGCCCTCATCAGAGCCTTCCCCAGACTCCAGGACTGGCCCATATTCCTCTCAAACCTCCTCATTGTCCAAATCTGCTGCCAGCTCTGCTGGCCGTTGGCAGCCATGACAGCACCATTTGAATAACACTTTAGGGGGAGAGAATTAAGCTCTACATGGTATATGCTGAGTATTGCAGTAGGATAATGAGAAGCTTCTCATCAGAAGTGAGATTTCAGGGCTGAGTGGATTAATGAAGAGTAGATTGCTCTGCTCTGTGGGATACCCTGCACAGCATGTAACTCTTTAGTAATGTGTTGCGCTTTTCAACAATGGGTTTATCTACCTTAATACAATTGGCAACACAGAATTGATTGATAATAGTTCATATTGTCTGGATTCCTAGCAAACTAGAGGGATTGAACTATTGAAGCACATTCAAAATTAATGTACAATTTGTGTGCCCCCCTCCACTCTCTCTCCCTAAATCCCTCTTTTTTCCCCCTCAGCTCTTTGGAGCATAATTTCTTCAAATTCCACTTTATGAAAGAACAGAGAAACAGGAAAGGAAGCAGGAAAGAGCTTCAGACAATCTGATGAGTGGGGGAAAAATGGGTGATGTGTGTTCTGCCAAAATGCAAAGCAAGGAGATAGCAACCCAAGGCAAAAAGAAGAGAAGAGGACTTAAGGAAATTTGGGTGGAAGGAATTGTAAAGACATGCTGGGAAATAGGAAGAAAAAAGAAGCAATTCAATACACACAATAAAAAAAATACTATCTGTCTATAAGATATCCAACCTTTTCAAGTTGTAGGTAACATATTATGGTTTTGACAGTTGCTTATTAATAAAAGAATAGGGTATCTATAACTTATAGGGTATTTCAAACATTTACCTTAGAAATAGAGGTTATAGGAAGTATCTAAAGATGCATAAAGATGAAGCTTTCTTAATGATGTGAGGGGATGATCAAAAGAGTGAAAGTGGATCTAAACTATACTCTTAAGCTAAATTGGAATAGCAACCTTCTTTGTCTCATTTTTTCTATTTTGAGTTCAATTTTGTCACCATGGATTTTTGTTTTATAATGACCATAGTGGAACAATAGCAATAGAACTTAGTCTTTAAATACTTAAATCAGGGGTCAACAACCTTAAACACTCAAAGAGCCATAAAGGTCCTAACCAGAAGCCCCCCATTCAATTCTGGAGCCAACCAGAAAGCCGGTTTCCACACCACAGAGTTTCCTTCTAGCGCGGCATCCTTTTTCCTCTACCTGTCCTAACCGAAAGCCCTATCAATTGTGAAGCTGACCAGAAAACCAGCCCCTTGCCATAGAGTCTCCTCCTGGTGCTTTCCACCCTCCCTAACTGGAAGCTCCTCTCAAAATTGTGGTGCCAACTGGCAACAGAGAGCTGCAGCAGAGAGATGAAAGAGCCGCATGAGGCTCCCGAGCCACAGGTTGCTGACCCCTGACTTAAAGCACTTTACAATGCTTTACAGCCCTCTCTAAGCAGTTTACAGGGTCAGCTTATTGCCCCCAGCAATTTGGCTCCTCATTTTACCCATCTCGGAAAAATGTAAGGCTGAGTCAACCTTGAGCCTGGTGGGATTTGAACTACTAAATTGCAGTCAGCCAGCAGTCAGCAGAAGTAGCCTGCAGTACTGCACTCTAACCATTGTGCTATCATGGCTCAACAATCACTCCTCTTCTTTTGCTTCTGTGCCTACACTGTGGAGCACACAAAGACTCTTGTGCGGGGGGTGGGGGGTGGGGGGGGGGGGGGGAGATCCTCCTAACTTTCCAAGGGGAGTTGATGAAAACAGGGAAGAATCATAGGACTTACCTTTGCCATGAGAAGCTTCTATAATCCAAGTGCAATTTAAATTATTGGGGTAGAAATCTGGAAAGCCTGGGGATAATACAGTGCCACTTGATCCTTGAATGTAGCCTCCACAGAGAGCTGAAAACCATCACAAAAAAAAGCAGACATTAGAGGAATCCCAGTGTCAGAGTTCCAAATAGTATCCAAAATTAAATCAGAGTCCGAGGCAAAGCATTCCTCAAAGTTCAAATTTATTAAGAGAGCCATGTTGGCACATCTGGAAAACCCAAATCTGAAAGCTTCCCAGTTTTCTCCACCCAGTTGAAAGTTCAAGATCTTGCCCCCACACTCAAAGTCCATCACAGGGTCCAATCTCCTGCTGCCATGCTGGCAGTTCCACCCATCCAGTTCCGATCAGGTGCAAAGGTGCAGACAAATCATGACCTTGGCTTTCTAGAAATAATTTTGTTATGGCTACATAGCATCTAACTCTGTACAATCCCCCCTCCCATTTTCC